CAAGTAGGCGTGATCCGTCGGGCAGGGTTCGCGGTGGTGTCTGGCGTGATTTGGTTGGCGAACTGCCTGGTCTAAGAAGAGTGGTTTGAAAAGTGGTGAATTTGCTTTGAAAAGTGGTGAATTTGGTTTGAAAAGTGGTGAATTTGAAGTGAAAATGGTATATACTATTAATGGGAATCATGCAGTCGTTCCGCGTTCGGTTACCCCGGAGAGACGTATGGGACACTCACCTAACTAGCTTGCAACACAACATCGTTCACATTTTCCGTATGAAAACTAACCTGTGCGAATCAATGTCCTCAAATAATTGCGCATACTGAGGCGCAGGATCTTCAGGACCATGAGGTGCTGGGTAACTGATCATAAGAAAGAATGGAGCATCGCTGTGAGTCACGAAATGGTCCGCGATAAACTTCACTGAGTAATTGGTGACCAGATCAGTGAAATAGTCCTGAAAGTCAAGTATATTCAACTCAAAACAACTTCACTACAATGAGCTGAGGATGTTTATAGCCCACTACATCTAGATGTTGAACCGAATTGACTTCTAGCAACCAGTTCTATTTGAAGGTACACCCGTATCCTATAGACGGACGTGGCTGCGCACACTACTTCAACATTGCGTCAGCTGCGCTTTCGGAGGGATAGTGCCGTTTTAGGACAACTGGAATCACGTCTTTGTTCAGCACAGACAGAGTGACAGTTGTCCTGGAGGAAACAGTCCATGAAAAACGTATTCATGTCATAGAGTGGAATATGCAGCCACGCCCATCCCATCTCTGGGCAATGGTGTATACTTCTCTACGCCCTCATCTCTGTGCAGTTTTAAAATCTAAGAGGCGATGAGAAAAAAAAATAAAATCTAAAAACCTTCTCGTATTCTGCTCCGTATTTCACACGGTTTCCATTCAGATTCACGGTATAGTTGTAGAACTTGCTGTTCTTCACCAATCCCATCCAATAATCCCAACCTGGAGGGATGTAATTCCTGAAATATTCAGCGCTTCACTTCGTTTTTCGTTCCAGTCATTCCTCA